CCAATATGGGTTTTTGCTGATATAGTGAAAAAGAGCAGATTTATGAGCCAATATTTAGATTTTGAGAAAGATTTGGACAGTAGACCCCTTTACTGTTTTAACTACACTCAGAAAGAGGCCGATATTGAAAGCTGTTCTCTATGTGGGCTATAAAACCTTTTCCTAAATGCATTATGTTGATAAAATAGATTACAGTCTCAACAACTTAACATGTAAACAATTGCACATCAATAAATATATGCTGCTGGAAGGTGCAACTTTTTCAGCCATCTGTAAACAGAGTTAGTGAGAGAGAATAAGCATGTGTATTTCACTTTACACATAATCTGCCATAATTTCAATGTAGCATATTCATATCTAGTTTATCCCTTTACCAGCACTCTTTATGCATCTAATACTACATAACTGTCTGCAATGAGGACCTGCAACTTTGTCTGGCAGGAAGCCGTGTTAGATTCTTGTTCAGCTCACATTTCCACATGTCCGCTCTGGTTTAATCATTTCCGACACGCCAACTGAAACTACCACCACAAACTACAATGGCTCACAGATAAATTTAGAATATGTCAGAAACTATAGTTTAACAGCTCATTAACGTTAGCGCTCCTCCACTGATAATTTGTGGCTAATTTAGCAACCCGCAGCATTAGTTGCTGTAACACTTAGTGATTTTAGAGAATATTTAGAAGTGATGAACTAGGGACAAATGAGACGACCGTTCACTAGAATTGTTTCAGAAATAAATCTACAATCACATCTGTCAGCATCATAGCCTCCAACTCTCTACGATTGTAACATTAAACACAGGCTACTGCGGTGAGCCCGGAGGAAATCTGGAGGGGGCAGTGAAAAACGGGACGGTTAGCAAGTCATGAAGGAGAGGTGATTATTATAATTTATATCATGTACTTAACGAAACCAACTCCGCTAACACAGTCACTCTGCATGTTGTTTCTACGTGCTCTGTTAGACTCCGGTGTGGTTTTTGTGGTGAGACAGTGCTGTTAACAGGGGAGCCGCAGTGCGCCCTCTCGTGGGCAAACTATGCAACACTCATGACATGAGTGAAGGATCTGACTCTTTGTTTATTTTTTAATAGTCATATATCTGCCATTATAAACAGCCGATGCTGATTAAATGCAATTAGCTCATATCGGCCAGTTTAAAATAAATTTCTTTCAGTGTTTTAAAAAGCTTTGACAATATTTTATGTCGAATGTCCATATCCAGATACTAGGTTCTTCACTTGATAGTCCTCCAGTGGTTTTCACATCATCAATTGCACACAAGGAGAATGAGCACACACGCAATATAAATATGTAAATTCCTTGTTAATAAACTCTGTGCCACTTGAACACTTTTCACTGTGCACTGAGCACACGTAGTCCTTGGGGAAAAATTAGCGCAGAGCCCTGAGTATGCATGCTGAAATCATCCAAAATGGCTTTTGTTAGGTTAGCATGCTATACCCACACGTGCTTTTCATGCTAATGTTATTTAGCCACAATGTCCTGGGCTACACAACTAATACTGCAGATCTATTATGTTGGGAGGGTTGAATTAATAATAGAGCTATAACAGTGATTGGCCAGTGGTTATTACAGTGACAAATACACCATGTTATTTCATTCCATAAGTGAGGTCTGGAAAATGGATTGAGCAGTAAATCAAGAGCTCTGTGTTGAGAAACGGCTCCCTTTTTTTCACAATAGGCTGGTACAATACCTGCACCACTACTGGCGCAGTGTAACCTACCAATTCACCTGTTACTCACATGTGAAAAAAATAAAAAGAAGGAAAATGGGTTGGGAAAGTGGCTCTCCAAAGGCAGCCTCAGTGCTATATGCCTGCCTCAGGCCATCTTGACCTGTTAATAGAGTACAAAGCAAAATTATCTAACATCAGGATTTATTGCCAACCTGCCCCACAAAGAGCCAGAAATGCCACTCCTATGATAGCCACTCAACTAGCCAGCTCATGCAGTATCCGACTAGCCAGCCAGTTTCCCCTGTAGCAACAGCTGTTGACCCCAAACCAGGCCCTCTGTATGAGTCACAGTCCGCTCCTTTCACCTGGCCTTCAATGGGGAAAAGATGGGTTACAACACAGCTCAGCTTTTTTGCAACTGGCGCCACCGGGCCAGTGGGTTTGAAACTTACTGGGCCAAAGACAGTTTTTCTGTCCTTCCTTCCAAAACTAACTAAACCAAAGACTTATAAGTTATGTTATACTGTTAACATGTTTAATTGGTTATTAAATACATCCTGGATATAAAAAAACTAAACTAAGCTAAAATGTAATCACAGTTAAAAATATAAAAAATAAAAGGTAATAGTTAACAAAAAATTTACTTTTAAAACAAAACATACTAACAGAGTCAAACATGACGTGCACTATCTTCTGCTAATAAAAAAAAAAACTACACAGAGCAGCTGATACAAGTCACCTCTATCCTGACTGACAGGTCGCCATGGCAGCAATCAGTCAATCACATGGTAGTCCTGCCCAAAATCATTCGCTGCATCATCGTCCCCTAAATAGGACCATAATTTACTGAATGAACATCATGCTGTGTTGAAGAAGACTTGAAACTAGCGACTGAGACCATAAACTCATTATGAAAGTGTTTACTGGGGTAATAATTCAGCTGATAAGTAGCAACATTTTACCATTATTTCTAATGTAACCGGACTTCTTTTTGCAACCAGCAGACTCGCCCCCTGTTGGCCGTTATAGAGAATGCAGTTTTAAGTTCTGTCTGCGTGGTTTCACTTTTCAGACCCAGAGATTGCCGCTTGATTGAGATTAGAGAAATAACATTTGACAACCACTCGTCAACTAACTACAACTCTGGATTGGATAACGGTGCGCGCCATGAGCTGCAAAACAACCGCAGGATATTGAGTTTCTTACTCAACTGGTGTCCACCTTTGAAACGAGAAACGCTCATCTATTTGTTCAAGGACATTTTGCCTGATTTCAAGGAACTCTGTTCTTCCAAGAAATACAGACATCCTGTTGAGAAAATCCTTTCATAGCAAAACACCATGATATTGGGCTTGATCCTTCTATATTGTGTTGCTTTGTTATTTACTTGCATGCATTAAGGTTCAAAAAGACAAGCTATCATTGTTGAGATGCTCTTTTAGGTCACAGTTTAATACCATCCTTTATTAAAGGTCTAGGAGAGTAAAAAATAAAGTATACGACACAAGATACACCTATTGCAATTTTTGTGGATCTGCCAATTCAGAAATTGGCTACTTTCAATTTTCTTTCTTTCTTTCTGAGAACTATAATTGACAGCATACACAAACATTTTTGGAACTTTTCTTTAATGGGAAATCGTATTTTTGTCTCCACCTTGTTTTAATATGTACTGACAAATTACTTCAATCTGCACGCCTTGTTTTTCCCTTCAGACAAACGTAAACACCTACACCTCGTTTTCTCTCTGCCTGTATGTCTGCTCTGTTGTCTTTCTTCATCAGCAATTTTAAGTGGCCCAAAAAACACAACTTGTATTTAGAATTTTTTTTATACCCGTGATTCTGTGAGCCACATGTGGTGGCGGCATAGCCTATCAAAACAATGTGGTACAAAATGACATTGCCAACCAAGTGTGTTCACTGTTCTGTGCTAAAAAATAGTGTCAGCGTCTTGTAACGTAATACCAGATAATGTCCTTCTTTGTGTTTCTCTGCAAAATGCTAAAATAGGTATATTTATATTTTGGCAGCCATTAATGTACCTGGGCAGTCCACCCAAGTCTGTGTGTGGGGTAACCCGGCTTATTTTAACCTTACAGGAATTATATATAATGTCATTTTATTGATTTCTTTAATCATGGTGAAGAACTTCCATGCCGACAACATATTTTAGCATGTGTGCCGATGCCAATTGTTGCATCTCTAATTAAGATCTAGGATGATAACACTACTAAACAAGCAGTAGGCCTATGCTATTGCTTCCGTCTTAACATACATAACAACAATTCTAACATGTACTGATTGAGAAGGCGATTGAAAAATTGGGGATATGCCAGTGGAAGTCATGCTAAGGAAGAATAGACCCTGAATAGTTTAAAGCTTCTTTGCCCAAAATAAAAATGTGTGTGTTCAGTGCCATTAAAGGTAGCGTTTCTGATGAATCACCCTTTAAGGCTCATTTGAAATGACTGCAGGATTTATGCAGAAGTCTTCTTCCTAGGCAGTGGTATATTAGTCTGTGTACTAATTATCCATGGACTAAGGACAAAATGAGAGAGACAGTCCCTGAAAGTGTGTGTGGGGGGGGGGGGGCCTTGAAAAAGTGTAAGACAAAGTTGTTGCATCTACTTTACAGTAACAGACTTCTGTTCGATCTTGTGATAATTAGTCTCCTAGTTTAGAAGGTGAGGACAGAGTCAAACAAAATCAGACACACCTGTCAGGTAATTATGCAGCTTATCGATATCCAATAACCAATTCATATAGGCTCTTGGACTTTTGACTTTAACTCAAGTTCGTTGTCACTGCTCAGGGTTTATAGCTTTTAATCTGTAGTCTGTAGATATTTCATTAACTTAGAAATGCTGAAGTTGATGTTTTATGTTATATTTTGAGCAACAGTTAAAATATTGCACCATATTTCAATATAACTACAAGAATTCCAGTTAAAGCTGGACTATCACTTTGTCACTCTCCATTAAGATTGAAGCCCTGCCAAGCATTTCAAGGGCTTCCCCTCAACTATTAGATAGTAAAGCTTCCAGTATGAGGAGGAGTTTTGAGTGGTTTAAAACCGTAGGAACATTTACAGATGGTAATAAGGCTACGGGAGCCAGGAGTGAGTTGGACTATCGAATAAATGGGACCTCACAATGGATGCCAAATCAATGGCAAGCAGCCACCCCAAATAAACAGCAAGGAGCCATCATTATTTAATTGAATGCCATAACATTCTAATAATGGTTTCTGCATGTGCTCTGAAAGTAAGATGTGGATTTGCTGTTTGTGCAGGTGAACCATTGGCTGGTAGGACTGCTGCTGGCATTCCTAGAGGGTACTGGAGCTTCTCCTGGGTAGCTGAGGACGACCTGAGCTTTTCCAACGTCGCCGTGCCCATGTCAGGTGAGTCGGACATTGTCAGTCCTTTTTAGACAGATGGACAGGCTAAGGCCCTTCTGTCTTCCAAAGATCCTTTTATCCCAATTGGCCATGACACCTGGCGTCAGCTCTCCATCGGCACACATAAACGTCTCTGTCTCGCCTGGCCTCTACCATCAGCACTGGCAATGTCACAAATGAGGGACGCAGATAAATGCAACTTCTAACACATCTGGAACCTGCCACAGTTCTTATAGAATTGTTCATTATCAATCTCTGGGGATCTGGGCTTGTTACAGTGGTAAAAGAAATAAAATACGGCAGAAAAAATTAATCTGAGAATAAAAATACAATATTACTCTTTATTTCACATGTGCACGAAGTTACCCACAGCCAGAAGCGAGAGAGAGAGGTCCAAGGGCGGCTGACGGCCCAGTACAGAGAAGTTCGAGTGAAGTCAAGTAGAAGTCTTTGAAGAGGATTTTGATTAATTTGACTATAATGAATCTTTTATAATGTAGTTAAAATCATTTTTTTAAAGAAGTAATTTACAATTGTGGCAGAGTTCGGCCACAATATTGGTAATATTAGATTGTAATTCCAAATAGAAGTCCATTAATGTTTTTCTCTTGTGAATGATCCAGGCATTAAGAACCAATTTTAAATTTAAAGTGTTGTCTTTAAAGTAACAACAAAATAATTCATTCCTCTGAAGCTGTAAGAAACACAAGAACAGATAATGCATTTTTAATCAACTTTAAACGCCAAACATAACATAAAGTGAGAGAGAGGGAAAGATAATACCTTTATCTTCTATAACGACAGTAGGATATGGTATGCAGTTTCCCTATATAGGATATTAACATGGACTTAATGTTATTATATGTTATTATTACAATATTCAGCGTTTGTTGCCTTATAATATAGATCCTGATCCTTCACAGCATTTGCTAATTGTTCATCTGATATTGATCCTTTACACTACTAATATCATATTTTGCGTGGACATAGGCAAAAGGGATTTGGACCCAAGTGCAGTACAGAATGGAAAAGTCTAAAAGCCATGTTTATGCTACTAACAGGTGTATGTACATGTGGGTGGCTGGATACTGGATATTGTCTCATAGTTCACAAATCTAAGTCAGCCACTGGTGCAGCCATATGTCACAGATACTATCAACCACTTCTTTCTAAATGTAAATATCATGTTGAAGGATGGACAGGCAGATCTATGTATTGTGTTGGAAATTAAGGTTAAAATGTTATCAATAATATATTAAAAATGATTTATTACTATTGTTTAATAATTAATAGAATACAACTAGTGTTAAATTCACCTTGGGGCACCACTCTCAAAGAGAAAACTGATGGCCAATTAGTTCATTTAGTCTCGTGAAATATCCAAAATTATCAATTTGGAATTCTGATTAATAATTAAAACCAAAATTAGCATCAGTAGCTAGTAGCTGGATTTGATCTACACAGAAGAGGTTAAACGTTAAAGAAACCAGCCTGTATATCCAAAAACATTTAAGAATATTACAGCCCTGGGTATGAGCATCTGTGTAAGTTATACCAGAGGGGCATTTGTGCATCCGTGTCACGTCAGACTCTCAAAGCCCATTCACATCACTCGCTGGCGACAGCTCCAGCGTGATTTTTTGCCCCTTTCCAACCTCTTGGAGGGTGGAAGGTCATCCTGTAAGTGATGATTCAAAGTCCCACCAGTCACCCAACTGTTTATGAAACACGTCTTTGACTGTGAAAGCCTGAGACCTTGCATCAGCTGCCTGTAGCCTTGACAGCCTGCAGTGGACCAACCAGTAATTGGTGTCAGTTAGACAAAGGATCATCCTACCGTTTTTGAATCAATCAATCCGTCATGCACACAACCAACTACATTTTCTATTATTTCATAAGATGACAGCTCTGACCTCTCTTCTCTAGTCTTTTAGCAAACCAGAAGAGGAGTGGTTTTTTTTTTTCATTTTTGGTGATAAGTGAACCGAGTGTGATGTGGCTGGAGTGGGAAAGATCGCATCTGGGCTGTAAAAGCCAGATGACTACAAATGCTCCAAATAAATAATGGCCCAGTTCAGTGCAACAAATTAAATCGTGATTACCACAAATGTTGTGGAGTTTGCCAAAATGTTGATTGAACATACAAGAGCGAATGTAATGTGTTTTACTTGCGCAATCTTTTATATATTTTATTATATTGCATTCTCAAAGGTGAATGATTGATTGTATGTGTGGGCATATTTGTGCCTTGTATTTCTATACTTGTGGGGGCCTAATGTTTTCACAAGCCAAGATGATAAAAGCCCTTCAGAGTGAGGTGTTGAATTGTGTTACATAGGACAGCTTCAGAGGACGCCAAGGATAAGGTCTAGGAGAGAACAGGTCTCAACAACATGGCATGGTGAACATGGCTTTAGGCTGCAGTGATAGATGTTTGCTGTCCCTACAGCATCTGCTGTCCGCTGGCATTTATTACCTACCACAAAGCCAACACAGAACGACTGGACACTCGCCACCAGCTGCCCCCATACTCTCCCTCCCTCCCGCCTCCCTGCTTCCATTAGCAGCCTTTAGCTGCAGGGGCTACAGGGTAAGCCAACTTCCTTATTTGCATTTCAGTGCTGGTAAGCTGACTTTATTGCCACTGTGTGTCAGTTCATGTCGGTAATGTCAGAGCCCTCTGACCTGAACTCTCGCCTCCCATCGACAGTGCTTCATCTTCCCTTGGGGAATAGCAGCAGGGCAGCCTGCTGCCATATTCTATTTAGCAAAACCCTTCCCATAACCCATCTTTCTCACTCCAGACCTATTCTCCTCGTGGAGATGGATTGTCCTGGTTCAGCTGTGGCTGCCAGCTGTAACAGAGGCACTCAGATGGATGCTAGCCACTTGAGGAGTTGCCGTGCTCTACAATAGAACATCTGCCTCACTCAGCTGGTAGTGCTGTTCTTGTGTAATGAGACACAGCAGTGGAATAAAACACATTTGCAAAGGTGGGGGTGGGGAGTGGGGGTATAAAAGAAAGCGGTGGAGCAGGTGCTTAAAAATGGCACCCTCTAGGAGTCACACCATTCAGCCCTTCCAACCCCTCGAGTATGTCCATTTGCACAGCTTTTTCAAGCTGTCATCACACTCCTATGAGCACTTGTTTGCATGTGTGACTGGTTTGAACAAATAAAGAAAACTGTTCTTTTAATATGTTGCAATCTTCAAAGAGCGCAGATTTCCAGCAAAAGCCGTAGTTTAATATCACATCCACGGGTGCTGTATTAGTATAACAGAAAAGAAAGCAAATCTTTAACACCTATTCTGAGTAAATCTCACTGACATTCTCCGAACACTAAGGTGTCATAAACAGCATGGCATTTGTCTTGCACATTCCCACTCAGGAGTAAACTGGAGATTATGTCTGACAGCTCCTTTTAAATGTATCAGGAATGAAATCATTAAAAAAAAAGGGATACTTAAGAGATTCTGCTGAGAGTTTGAGATTTCAACTCAACTGCCAAACAAATACACCCCTACCTTCAGTGCTCTCTCAGAAGCCCCCCCCTCCAAATTCATGGACACATTTTCAAGGCAGCCAGTGTTACTCTGCTGAAATATGGCAAAATCCAAAGTCTGCTGTCCGAGTGCAAGTTAGCCTCAATAAGGTTGCCTTTTTTATTTTGCAGTAGCCAACTGCAAAAAGTGTGACAACTCGTCTGTCAATATTTAAGTATCAGGGATGTGATTTTTCCAGATTAATACGGAATTCCGTTTTTTTTTACTTGAAAATGTGACCCACATGAATCATGTAAATCCGTAAAAAAGTATATCATAGTCGTGCTAGCTTCTCTGTCCTCTCCTGTGTGTTTGATTAAGGGCCGGGCTTAGCTCATACACACACACTCTCATTTGTATACTGAGAGGTCGTGATGGAGACCATTAACCAGGAGAATTGAAGGGTAAAAGTGATGTTTTCACCTGCTATGTCCGTAGTTGTTGTTACCAGGTTACCCGCAGCACCTTAAAGTCATTAAAAGGTCATAAATTGTATTAAATTGACCCTAAATTTGCTGTAGGTATTACATTTTCCAATGCGTTTAAGGCTAGCTTGAAAATTGTCACCCACAGTGGCGAGACTCCACCAATTAATATAAGTTTTATGTTACATTTACATTGGCTACAGAAGTTGACTTTTGGCTGCGTGTCATTTTTCATTATTGGCAGTAGTGGTTGCAAGACGGAAAGAGATGCAAGTTTTATGGATAAAAAATATCGAACTACAGACTATGATAACTTCATAGTGTCTCTTTTCACCAGAATCTGTTTTCCTTCATGGATAATCCATGTTTACTCAGCGTTGCGCCTATGCTCGGCCAGAAAGTGAAAGTGAAACTTAAAGGGGCAATATGTAGTTTTTCAGCTGCCTCTAGCTGTGCGTTTTTAAGATTGCAGCCAGGTGTGTGATCATATGCATGCTTGAACCATAGGCTTGAATTCATGTGTGAGCATAATCCGAAACACAACTGCTTTCATACAGAGATCCCGCAAAAAAACATGACATGTTTCCGACTGAGAGGCAGATCAACAACCGGCTCCATACCTTTCATACAGCGCAGCGAGCCTCATATTGGCACAATACTAATGGGGGAAAAAGGCAGTGTCAAACCGGCTATAGACAAGACAGGGAGACAGCTTCACACAACATGCTGGAAACTCAGGTAAACTCCCATTGCAACCTTACAGTAATATTTTTATCAGCTTGAGGTTTAACTAATCCATGCTGGTTACATGATAACGTTACATTTACTGCATTTAGCCGACATGATACAGTACATCGACATTAGCTAACCTGCCGCTTTTCAGTAACTAACATCACTATTTGTGTGTCTTTCCCCGGGGGTTCAGCAGTGTCAGCACAGCTAAATTTATTGGATGATAACAAAAGGGTTAGTGAGCTAAACTGAATAAAATGAGATTGTTGCCACTCTTTATAACAGTTAGACCTCAGTAACATT